GGGTACAGTCTCTCCCTCAAGTCCCTCTTCATAGTAGGTGACATAAGAGTGCTTGCAACAAACCACACACCTCTATCTAAAAAATGTGCCAATTTGCTGAACCACAAAATGAGTCTCCCACCACCACCATAAAAAAATGTTCTGATTATAACTGTATGCTATGGATGAAGTCTAAACTTATTGGCAAAAAAACAAGGGACATTTTTGTAGTAGTTTCTGGGACCATTTTTTTTTTTCTAAGCTGACAATTCATCTTTTAATGCATTATATTCAAAACCAACTTAATTCACATCTTCTTTTACTATATCCAAATTTGACGTGTTAGAAGCAGTACAATTTTCCACTCAGCAAAGTTTGAGTGTTCATCAAAACAAATAGATCATTCATATTGCCGCTCAGAGATAAATAAAATAATTTAGCAAATTGAATTGCGATGTCTTTCTCTGTAGGGATATATCGTCTGTTATTTGTTGTGATTTGTTACTTCCCTTGGCTTTATATTGTTTCCTTCAGCTGCTTTTTTTTTTCTTCTAGAGTATCACATTTTGAATTTGGTCCAGTTCTCTTTCAGGAACAATATTTTTGAACTGAATTCCACGCCCTGCACAAGAAGCCGTGGAGTGTGGAGAAAGTCCATGGTTTCTGTAGTCGGGGAGAACTGAAGCCCTATTTACTGAAATCCCGGTTTCATCAATTCCCCTGGGACCATTTCTTCTTAAGATGAGTTTGAATCCATCTTGATTGTTCTATTTTTTTTTTTTAAGATTTATTTATTTATTTGAGAGAGTGGGTGGGGAGGGGCAGAGGGAAAGGGAGAGTCTTAAGCAGACTCCACTCTGAGCTTAGAGCCCAATTTGGGGCTCGACGCAGGGCTTGATCCCACCACCCTGAGATCACGACCTGAGCAGAAACCAAGAGTCGGATGCTTAACTGACTGTACCACCCATGTGCACCAGTCTTGATTGTTCTTGTGAAAAACTAGTCATTTCCTTTCCTCACATTTTGAGGAAGAAGGAAATACAAAGTCCAAGGTCCAGTATCCCAAAGGACCCTGCTATAATCCTGTTTCCTCTTGAATTGAACCTAGTGATCATTTGGGATTTACAATTGGACTTCCCATCCTAGAACATGATAAGCATTTTTATTTATGCAAGTTTACTTGTAACTCTTTCCAGAAACTTTTCATGTAGGTCCCCTGAATTTCCCAACAAATTAATCCCAGATATTTTATGTATATTTATTTACATAGTATTACTATTTATATAGCAATAATTTATAGGTAAAATGCTGATTTATTCCTGCTTCTCCAACTTGAATTTCTAAAGGTCTGAGGAGTTCTGAGAAGTGTCCTAGAGGCCTGTGTTTTTTGTTGTTGTTTTTGTTTTTTTAAGCTTATCTTTTTTTTTAAGATTTTATTTATTTATTTGACAGAGAGAGACACAGCAAGAGAGGGAACACAAGCAGGGGGAGTGGGAGAGGGAGAAGCAGGCCTCCCGCCGAGCAGGGAGCCGGATGTGGAGCCCAATGCGGGGCTCCATCCCAGGACCCGGGAATCATGATCTGAGCCGAAGGCAGACGCTTAACGACTGAGCCACCCAGGCGCCCAGGCCTGTGTTTTAAAGACAAAAAGATACGCCTTTCTTCTTTTTTTAAGTGACTTTTAAACATGTGTTCCCCTTCACATGAAACAATCTGAGCTGCTGTGTGATGAAGTACGAATAGAGAATGGTGAGTGGAAATCAAATCAGGTCCATGATTGAGTCTCACGGCAGGTTTAGGACTCAATTGAATGCCACGAGCTGCCATAGTGATTTGGCCAATATACAGTTTTATATCTCTTATTCTTAGCCATATGTTGTTTAAATTAAATCAGTGGAATATTAAAGGAAGCATATGGAATAATGTTAATATATTTCAACAATTCAGTACCTCCATAAACATGTCTTTGACTATATGAAGTATATGAAGAGAGGAAAAGTACAAATTAAAATTTGCAGAGGAATGAAACAAGTAGTACTGCTAATCTAGCCATTTTTACATGATCCACAACGCCTTTTCTTCAGTTCTAAATTCCCAAACCTTTTCTAATCAAGTTTCCTCCCCTATTATGTATCTGCCAAATTTACCAGAAATAACCACGCTATTTACATATTGTCCTTCTCCAACCTAGTGTGACTCTTCATGTATTTTGCTACAGATATATGTATATCCGGCCAAATGTTGCCTCAGACCCGCTCAGGACGTTACCTACTGTGTAGTATATGCACCTCACTATCCTGCTAAAATCCAAACACCTGTGGATTCCAAAGCAGTTCTGGCCCTGAGGGCTTTAATGAGGGATTGGGGCCCTGTGTGCAAACAGGAGGCCTAACATTTTTGATATTTTACATGCATAATGGTTAACATTTGTTCAAAAATGTTTTAACCTAATCAAATTACAGTAAATTAAGTAGCATGCTTAATTTGCTAAATGAGGAAAAGGACATGATATTGTTAAAAGTTGTATTAAAGTGGATTTCATGAATCAATCTTCAATAATATACTTATTGAAAATTACCTTTTAACTAAAAATCATGTTTTTATCCCATACCATATAAACAGAAATAAATAACTGAAAGAACTTTCAAGGCGGCTTGTTTCCTAAAGTTGTTAAAGTTCTCCTTCAAGGGACGCCTGGGTGGCTCAGTCGGTTAAGCGTCTGCCTTCAGCTCGGGTCATGATCCCAGGGTCCTGGGATCGAGTCCCGCATCGGGCTCCCTGCTCCGCGGGGAGCCTGCTTCTCCCTCTGCCTCTGTCTCTCTCTCTGTCTCTCATGAATAAATAAATAAAATCTTAAAAAAAAAAAAAGTTCTCCTTCAAATTTGATGGCAAACCACTACAAGCATCCCCAGTCACATCCAAAATGAATAACAACATGACTAATTAATGTGACTCTGCTGTACTACCTAGGGCTATGTAACATCGATTTTTTAAAGTCAAAACATGGAAAAGGAAGAAGCCAAATTACTTATGGAATGGGGACAGTGTTTTACCTACAGTGGCCACAAAAAATCCAAGGAAATACTATTCAAATGAAAGACATCTGTATGGTCTCTGAGTAAATACTAATCAAAATCAAGACTGTCTAATTGCAACAAATAAGATGAACAATGCACAGCCTGCAGGTGGATGCTCTCCACAGTGACCATAAAAGTTAACAACTCCTGGAACAAGTCTGGCAGGCAGTGGGCAGGATGACCCAAAGGGATGCACAGGGCTGCCAAAACCTGCTAGGAAACTCCAAGAGGAGAGTACACCAGGTCCTGGGCCCAAGAATGTTAGGAGAGCCCCAAGAACATCAGAGCCTGGGCCCTGAGGAAGACAAGACCACAGTAGGCCCTGGGACCTAAGGAAGATGAGAGAATGAGAATACCGGATACTGGACTCCGAGGAAGATAAGAGATTATTTAGTCCTTGGCTCCCAAGGGAGATGAGAACACACCGGGCTCAAATAAGAGCACACACCAGATCCTGGGCAGCCACAGACTTTTCATTTCCTAGCCACGGGCACCTCGGCTCGCAGAAGAGGACGCTGGGCAGAGGATCCTACCCATCTCACTCCTCCTCCCTGAGAAAGATTCTTTGCTTACCCAAACTTTAGTCAGGCTCCCCTGAACCCTCTCCCTAACAAGGCCCATGCAAGTACTTCCTCCTAGAATCTAGTTTTAGCAAGAATCCTAGTAAGTCAGTTTAACAAGACTTCTCTACCTTCAAATCTGATCGAACTTCTCATCCCCGCTGTCGCCCCCAGGTGGTATCTGATCACCCTGGCCTGCCTTCAGCAAGAGTCTTACTAGGTTGGCTCAGCCAGAAGCCCCCAGTGTAATTTTCTATCAACCAACAACCCCCACCGCCCCGACACGCACTCCAACTTGCTTCTTAGCTGTAAATCCCCACTTGATCTAGTTGTATTCAGAACTGAGCCCAGCTCTGTACTGCAGTGTCTCTTGCCCTGACATTTTTGTGAATAAAATCTGTTTCCACAGTTTTAACTCGTCTAGTTCCGGTTTTGACAACGCACCCCCCACACCCGTGCTTAGCGCGCATTTAACCCTGCCCTTCTCCCCACAACTTGAGTGGACATTCATGCCTGGCCCTCCTCCCACCCTCTCCGCCTCCCCATGGAGGACACAGAACCCCGCCATTCGCGCGTTCTGGGCAGGCCCTACTCGCCTTTCCTCTCAGAAATCAGAGGTGATCTTAGCCCCGCCGCCGGCACACTTCCTGCCCTCCCCCTTCCGCCCCTTCTTCCTCTCCTTAGGCAAGGATCCACACCCAGCACCGCCCCCACTCACTTCCGTCCATCCTCTCACTGCCTCTTCCCGGAACTTGGGTGGACTTTAGCTCCGCCCCCCCACATTACCCGCCCGTTCCTCCTCCTCCCTCGAGCTTGGCCGGACGTCAGCTCCGCCCCCTACACGCTTCCCGCCCGCCCTGTTCCCACCCCTCCCTCCTCCGCGTCGGGTAGGAGTAGCGGTTAGCCCCAGCCCTCTACGCTTCCGTCCCGACCCGCTCTTCCTCCTCCGCGCAGGGACGTAGTAATCCTTCCCGCCAAACCCCCGACCCAACTTTAACCAACTTCCGGCCCACCCCTTCTGCGCTCCTTCCCTTCCTAACTTCCGGCTCATCCCACGAGTGGTCGCCCTCGTGGCGGAGCACGACAATGTCCTGGCCTGTGGTGCTACTTGGAAAAGTGTGGAGGCCCCGTGGCCTGGCGTACCCGCCTTGAGCCCTCCCCCAATCCAGCTGGACCACCGAGGGTCGCCGGCGAGGGACCTCTTCCGGGCGGCCCGGGCTTCGCCGGCCATCCGAGATGGCCAGCCAAGATGGCCGCCGCCTGGGCGAGGTCAGGCGGGCACGCCGCAGGGGCGGCTGGGAGTTGTAGTCCAGGCCGACGCGCTGACGCATCTCGCCGCGGGCTGACGGTCGCCATTGTGCGCCGCGCGCTGGGTGAGTGTGGCGCGAAATCTGCTCCCGTCGGGGCTGTGCGGAATCGTCCCACAGCCGCTCTTCGGGGTGTGCAGCCTCAGGGCCTTCCCCGCCAAGCTCAGCAGCCGGAGGCCGGCCTGGCCTGGCGTCTTCCCGCCGTGGGGCCGGAAGGGGCGGTGTGGTAGGGGACTCGGGGCCCAGAGGAAAGACAACTCCCTCCGGGCGTGGGGCTTAAGGCGGGCCGACCCGCTCGGGGCGTGTGCGGACTGGAGAGGGGAGTAACGCCCTCTGGGTGGAAAGGTATGAGGAGGGTCTCCTCTTGACTAGTGGAAACCGGCCCTCTAGGTATCGGGGAGTAGGTGGAGACGACCCTTTAAGTGCGTTTTCCTAGGTTGGGGGTGGACTTACCATTTCACGTTGATAGGGCCGCTACTGGGCAAAGGAGCCCCCCCTTTCTGCGTAGCCCTCACACCCCTTCTACCTCCCAAATTCGACCTTCTCAGGACTGCCCACTCCCACGAGATAACGTCGAGAAGGAAGGTATGACCTCCGGGCTTCCGACGGCCTGGTTCCGTGTGAGTAGAGGCTTCTTTGAGTTTCTGAGCCTACCCCTGGATCTGGGTGTGGGGGTAGCCGGATGAGAGTGGGACGCCACCTTCCCTTGAGATGACTTCGGGCCCCAGAGCATCCTGGGGAGGATTGAGAGACGCAGCAGAACAGATGAACCGCAGGTTGCTTAGCTTTCCAAGGGAATGGATAGAGCACAGGTTGGGCTCTGGGGGGTTCTGATTTATCCTTTATATTGGAGATGGACATTGACAGGTTTAAACAGGGATTAGACTCACATTTGTATTTCACAACTACTTTGGCGTCAAAGCTAGAGGGGACATGAGCTCAGTCATTAAGAGAAAACAGGAGGATGGATCCTTGACAAGTGAAGGGAGCAGAGGCAGCGCAGGCAGTGGGTGGGGGCTGAAGGCTTGGGTGTGATGATTCAGCTCACAGAATTACCTACTAGGAGGTAGAGAGGCAGTATTGGAGTCCCCAAGTTAATAAAAAATGGAGAGGTCCAGAGGAAGAAGAGCCCTCTCTGGCCTCACATGTTGTCCTCCTTGCTGTGACCTGAATAGGATCAAGCTTGGGTTTGCTCAGTTTCAGACAATTTCAGGAACACATGAGCCACCTGGAATGCTCTTGGGTCATCTTGTAGACTGTACCCTCATGTGCTGGGTCAGCCTTCCCCCTCCTGTCTGTGGGTGACGACAGACCGTGGCTGAACAGAAACCTGTGGGTTTTAGGAACCAGTGACCTTTGAAGATGTGACCCTGGGTTTTACTTCAGAGGAATGGGGACTGCTGGACCTCGAACAGAAGTCCCTGTACAGGGAGGTGATGCTGGAGAACTACAGGAACCTGGTCTCAGTGGGTAAGGATGGTCTCCATGTCAATAAAGATCTGCGCTTTGCAGCACGAATGTGGTGCCTCTGAAGTGTGTGTCTGCTTGGGCTCAGGTTGCAGGGATGAGAATGCAATTGTCAAGGCCCTGGAGCCTGAGGGAGAAGGCTTTAATTTGTACCTGTAGGGGAAGGGCAACTTCACATATGACTTCTGAAGCCACCTACAATCCATCCTTAGAGGCCTTGAATGCTGGGGAGGTAGGTCTGTCAGGGATGTAGCTGACAGCACTGGATGCTCATTTATGTAACAAGAATTTCATAGGATGTGGGGTCAGTGTTCCAGCAGTTCAGGAGTATCACTGAAGACTGATCCTTTCCATTTCTTTGTGGTTATTGTGAACTTTTCCACTCTTAGGTTAGTGGCTGCATGGCTGTGGCACCCAGCATCATGTTCATATTCAAGACAGAAAGAAGGGGAGGGGGCAGCCCTGGCTAGTTCTCTTTTCGCACCTCCCATATTTAGCAAGAAAAAAAAAGCCCTAAGGTCCCCAGCTGACATATTTTTCTTTGTATCTTGCCAGCGAGAACTGGGTCCCACTGCTACTTTTACTGGCAAGGGAGTCTAGGAAGGCAAGTAGCTGACAAAGGGAATGGATTGGGTTATCATCACTGCGGTAAACCAGAAGTCATGCCCTTGCAGGGAGGAATTCAGGGACAGCATGTGCCACAGCAGAAACGCATTTTCTCCCGAACACAGACCCCCAAGCCCTGTCTCTTTTCCCTTGGGCAGAACATCAGCTTTCCAAGCCAGATGTGGTATCTCAGTTAGAGGAGGAGGAAGCGCTCTGGTCGGTGGAGAGAGGAATTCCTCAAGACACCTTTTCAGGTGAGAACCAGGCTCACGGGAGTCCTGGCAGGGCATGGGCTGACTGGTTAGTCAGGGACTGGTGTCTTAGAAAAGAAGACGGACAGGGGAAAACCCCAGATGGGGTGGTATGATGAGTAGCTGCAGATACGCTGAATCATACTGTTTTCCTCTGGTCTCAGAGTCAGGGGTGTACCGCCTGGTTGAACGTGAACTTGTTGCCAGTGGCAGGTTGGCCGTAGGGGCTCATCTGTTCTACTGTTCTTCTTTCATGTAATCACCAGTAATTGGTGTGTCTGTCCAGACTTTATAGATGTTTGCACGTATGTATATAAATATGTTTATGACTGGGGGGTGTTCTACTGGATACAAGCAGGCATGTTTCATTCATTTTAACAGATACTGTGTAGTCCACATTTGATTTTTCCTCTTGATAGTCTTTCAGGTTGTTGCATACATTTTTTTGCACTTTCAAGTTTTTTTTTGTTTTGTAGGTAGGATTTGTTGAGATAGAACTTCAGAATCAACCGAGATAGAAGCTGATAATCTGGTAGCAACAGACTGCTCTCTGAAGTCCTTTAAAATCCGTGTAGCTGCTCAATTACATGAGAGCTTTTCCCCTTACCAGAGATTTATAATCTTTTTAAGGTTTGCAGATCTGATAGTATGTTGAGTGTAGTTCACATTTCCCTCATGAAGTTACACATATTTTTGTAAATTTACAGACCATTTATATTTTTTCTTTTGTGAGTTCATATACTTTCTCATTTTTTTTTTTAAGATTTTATTTATTTGACAGAGACACAGTGAGAGAGGGAACATAAGCAGGGGGAGTGTGGGAGGGAGAAGCAAGATTCCTGCTGAGCAGGGAGCC